GGTCCCCCCCCACCCACACACACACATACAAAAAAAAAACATGTACTTATTACAATACCTGTAATTTACTTCAAAAAATGTAATATAGACAGAAGCTGGTACTTGTAATAATAATCTCGTTGTGATTCGAATCATTTTATATGGATATTAATTCATTTCTTATTTGCATTCCACGAAAGAAAAATATTATAAAATGTTTAAAAAAATTTTAATATCGTTGATCTTTACTAATTAATATTAACTTCCGATTAGAACAAGCTATCAAGTAGAGCAAAACTAAAAAATCAACCTGGTAGTAAGCATAGCTAAATAAATATATATTTTTGACGTTCTTTTTTTAAAGATTAGAATGCAATGTCTTATCAGTTGGGTATCCTGGCTGTCAACGATATTTTCAGCCATAAATCTAATAATATCTCACGAGGTTACATTTGTGCACATAAAATAGAATTTCAGAAGCTCTTAAAAACCACTTCATAATGAGCCTAGAGTATAGAAAGTAGAAAGTAGTCTAGAAAGAAAAAAGACGTGGTAGTGAATCAAAACATTCAACAGTCTAAGAGATAAGTTGTTTTATTACAGAACAGTCTAAGAGATAAGTTGTTTTATTACAGAACAGTCTAAGAGATAAGTTGTTTTATTACAGAACAGTCTATGAGATAAGTTGTTTTATTACAGAACAGTCTATGAGATAAGTTGTTTTATTACAGAACAGTCTATGAGATAAGTTGTTTTATTACAGAACACCCAGTAAACTAGAGGAGAGTGTGATATCTAATCGTTGCCCTCTAGTGCCAAGTCTGACGACTCTTAACGCTAAAAATCGGGTTTCGATTCTCGCAGTTGGCATAACACAAATAGTCCATCGTGTAGCTTTCAGCTTAATAACAAACAACAAATGTAATTGTTAAAACAACACATAACTTTGTTTTTACAGCCACTAGCTAAATATTAGAAGGACTGCAAGACAAAATGACATGCAAGATTTATATTTAAATTTGTTGAAAATTAAACATTAAAAACACTTAAAGAACTGATATCCAGAAGTTACATTCTGCAATTCGTAATCACGTGAGTACACTTATTATAAATAATGTTCTAGATTTAAAGTTCTGTTTAGAAGTTGTACACCGACAGGAGTGAGAACACAGAATTTAATACTAAATCGATAGCTGGCTTACTTAACCTAACAAAACAAAAACCATTAAGTACACTGTCTGGCACGTTCAGTCTAGCAAGTGCACGGCAAGTGAAGATACTAAAACAACCTTGCTTTAGAAAAACATTATATTCCTCTTGACCTTTTAAAGTATGAATGTAAAATAAAAACATAAACAAATTATTGGTTAAGGTCTAAAGCTCATGATTTACGTTATATATCATGAACCACGACAGTGGTTCATAACAGGGATCACCCAAATATTTCACATACTGGCGAAAACCCTTCTTAAAAAGTCGACTTGATCTTAAAACAACACTCGAGGCCTTCTGCTAAATTTTGATAATAGCAAAAAAAAAAAAAGTTAATTTTCTGATTGTTAGACAAAATTCATCCATTTGTTCTTCATATTATTATTATTCATATTATTCTTGTCTCACAAGTCTACAGTAAAAATGGCTGAGTA